CTAGAAGAAAGCAAGGAGATCGGGGAGCAAGGAGGCACCCCTGCACACCTGCCTAGTGTACACATAGCCCCCCTGCAGTGAAGAATCCATCTCCTTTCATCACTTGGGAAACTGTCACCACTTAGAGTTCTCAACCGCCACATCTGAGCCCCAAAGAAAAGTGACAGCCCGTGAGAGGCCCCCAACAGCCAAAAAGAGGATGGTCCAACATAATTGTCACCCAGGAAAATCGAGCTGCTGGAGTAGACAGACAACAACTTTAAACAAGAATAATAAAAAAGAAGAATGCAAGGAGGTTCAAGTACAGCACCAAAACATTCTATGGAACCAAATAAAAAGGGAATAAATAAAAAGATGAATTTTACTGGATGAATTAAAGAAGAGGATGATCACTGTTAAGAGACAAATTAGTGAGTTAGAAGACCATGTGGAAGAAATATCTCAAAAAAAAAAAGAAAAAAACAGAGCAAAAAAAATGCCAAAAGATGAAAATCATGAAGGAAAACGATCAGTCTTGGAGACCCAGGAGATCTACTATGGGAATAATTGGGGGTAGAGGATGGAAGAGTAGGGAGGAAGTATGTTCAGGTCTCTTCCACCCCAGAAGTTCCCCCTGCTGCAATAACCGTTCTATCTACTTCTCTTCATAGCCAAAATTCTAGAAAATTTGTCTACACCCTGCTGTCCCCACTTCCTCCCACCCTTCACTGCTCAGCCCACTGCAGTCTGATTTCTGCTTCCAACACACCCAAGAATGACTCAATGTCCCAAATGCTTCCTCAGTGCTAAGTTCACTGATGGCTTCTCAGTCTTTTCTAACTTGACCTTTGGGTCACATTTCACTCTGTTGGTCCTCCTTTCTTCTCTTTTTTGACAATTAAGTATTTTTAGGTATTTTTTCCAGCTTTATTGAGATATAATTAACAAACAAAATTTGTATATATTTAAGGTGTACAACATGATGATTTTATCTACGTATGCATTATCCCCTTTCCTTCTTGAAGCATTCTCTTCTCCTGGCTTCTCTAACACCACACTATTCTCCTATAAGGGTGGTCAACTCATCCCAGTTTGCCCTGGACTTTCCCAGATTTAGCACTAAAAGTCCTGCATCCCAGAAACCCCTCCATCCCAGGAAAACCAGAATCATATTGCAATCTCATCTTCTCCTGTCCCACAGTGTCTTAGTTTGGGCTCCCCCAGGAGCAAATTCTGAAACAAGGATTCTAATGCAAGTAGTTTATTTTGGAGGTGATCCCAGTGAACACCAGCAGGGTTGCAAAGAAGTGAATCAGGGGAAGGAAGGAAGCCAATACAAGATGGGAGCTTAATCCCAGCAGGGACCTCTGGACAATCGCTTGGGACCTGCATCTCAGACTCTTCTCACCTGAGGGATGAGGGAGCTGGGGCATGTGTACACCAAGTTCAGCCTTTGGTTGAGGATTGTTCCAGGAAGCATTTTCCCCCTGATGCTTCTCACCTGCCTTCTGCCAGATAAGGTGGTTTCCAGTGGCAGCTGCTGGCCAACAGAAGTCACTGAAAATGTGAGGACTAAGGATAGAAGCAGGGCATAACCACATCTGCTACATATAAGATTCTATCCTTGACCCGAGAGAAGTTCTTAGAGCTTGGCAGGAGTTCATGAACCACCTAAATTTAACTGTGTTGTTAGCATAAGTACTTTTTCTTCCCTATCTCTGGTAACGATAACTCCTTCTTTCCTACTAATTAAGCTGAAAACCTGGAGTCATTCTTTAGGCTTCTCTTTCTCTCACACCCAACATCCAATTCATCAGCAAATCTCACTAGCTGTATCTTCAAAATAGATCTAGAATTCTTCCTGCCTTCACAATTAGCTCCCTGGTCCCCATCATCCCTCACCTGCGTTATTGTAATAGCCCCAGGAGAGCCACAGAGATGATTATCAACAGACCCAGAACCCAACTCCTGCTCTCCTACCTCAGTCCAGGATGTCTGTTCTATCATATCTTGTTGTTCCTTTCCTATAACTGTGGGCTGAGGCAAGAGCTACAAGGTTAGAGTTTTCAGGGACAATTCAGGTTTACAGACAGTCCCTTGAATGGCAGCGGGTTCTACAGAGAGAGATCAACCACTGGAGGCACAGACTGAGTCCAAATACCATCTCTGCCACTTATCCACTAAATGACAACGGACAAGCCATGAGACCCCTCTGGGCCTCAGTTTTCCCAGCTATAAAATGGGGTTGGTAATTATTCCAGCCTCACAAAATCATCGTGAAGATTAAATGAGAGCTACTCCATCTATCTAGTGCACAATATATGCTTGACTAATCATGGCTTTTTTTTTTAACCAACAAGAATGCCCAACCTTTGGTCCCCTAGACCCAAAGAGGTAAAGAGAGCTTTCCCTTGTGGCACAGCGGTTAAGAATCCACCTTCCAATACAGGGGACACAGGTTCAAGCCCTAGTCTGGGAAGATCCCACCTGCTGCGGAGCAGCTAAGCCCGTGTGCCACAACTACCGAAGTCTACCCGCCTAGAGCCCATGATCCACAACAAAAGAAGACACCGCAGTGAGAAGCCTCTGCACCGCAACAAAGAGTAGCCCCCGCTCGCCGCAATTAGAGAAAGCCCAATGGCAGCAACGAAGACTCAACGCAGCCAAAAATAAATTAATTAAATAAATATTTTTTTTTAAAAAAAGTAAAGAGGACCTCTTTCATGTTTTCCTCTCTACCTGAAATTAGACAATCATGAGAGATGCAGAAGGGAGATAGGTTTGGACCAGCTCCACTGTGGACCATTCCCCCACAGCGTGACTCAGAGATGTGACCACAGCCCCCCTGCTTCCCCATTTCTCAAAACACATATTTGGGGAAACTGAAGTTTCCCCTTCTGAGATGGGGAAACTTCCCCTGACCCCAGAAAAACAGTTGCTTGGGCCAAAGTTCCCCTGGGTAGAGGGCTTAGAACAGGATGCCCACCCACTCTGCAGTCTATGGGCCATATGGAGGGTTAGTTTCGATACTGATGAGTTGGGGGGCAGGTGTGGAGGTGGGAGGAGACAAGTACAGAGGGAACAGAAAGTGAAGTGAATGCCAATCCCCTGCTCCCACTGCTTCCCCTGCTCAGAGCCTCCTTGCCTTAATCATTCGCTCTGAGTCAAAACAGGAATTATTGTGCTATTAGTCAAGGGCTCTTGTTGATCAATAAATTGACTGGCTTGTACCCACCCCTGGACACAAATGCAGGGATTGTCTAAAGAGATTGATGTGTTGAGTTGTGCTCAGCTGGGGGTAGTACCAGCCCTCTAGGGAGTGTTTTTGATTAGCACAATGACTGGGAAGGACACCTCTGGCATTTAGTGGGTTGAATCGTGCCCCCCCTCCCAAAATTCACATGTTAAAGTCTTAACCCCCAGCACCTCAGAATGTGGAGACTTTGGAGATAAAGTGTTCAAAGAGGTCATTAAATTAAATCAAGTCATCAGGGTGGGCTCTAATCCAAAATGTCTGGTGTCCTTAAAAGAAGACAATGGGAATTCCCTGGTGGTCCAGCGGTTAGGACTCTGCACTTTCACTGCAGGGGCCCAGGTTCAATCCCTGGTCGGGGAACTAAGATCCCTCAAGCCGTGCCGTGCGGGCAAAAATAAATAAATATTTTTTTTTAAAAAAGAAGATGAGATTATGACACAGACACTTACAAAGGGAAAACCATGTGAAGACACAGAGAGAAGACAGCCCATCTACAAGCCAAGGAGAGAGAGCTCACCAGAAACCAACCACGCCAACACCTTGATCTCAGACTTCCATCTTCCAGAATTGTGAGACAATGCATTTCTGTTGTTTAAGCCAGTTTATGGCACTTTATTATGGCAGCCCCAGCAAACTGACACAGTGGGCAAGGACCACACAATGAACTGGCATTTTGAGAAGCTTTAACATTGCAAGAGCTAATAGCCCAAGAAGATCCACTCATAAGTAAAGTGAATTACTTCATCAAAGAGCTTTACAGGCCAACAAACAGCCTAAAGGCACGTGTGGGTAGATATCTCCATTGTCCTGAGGATCTGACCAAGACGTGGCCTGCCACACTGGATGATTCAGCTGGTCTGTCTTTCTAGAAGTTCCATGTCTTGGCAGAGGTCTGATTCCACCACTTAGCTTGGGCAGACCTCACCCAGGACATCGAAAAAGCTTCATGTCAGGAATAATTTTGCCCCACCTGCTTCCCAGAAGCTGGTCCACATCAAGTAGGCAGCAAGGGATCCCAGTCCCAGCATATCATGGTCCAGAGGAGCCAGGGTATTTTCTGTTCCAGCTCAATCAGTGCCAGACCTGGAGCTCCCAGAATCAGTATCATTTCCTAAGAGCCAGGGACTTGGTGACTTTCCTCCAGACCCCAGAACTGGGAGACCATTACCAAGACCTGGTGTCTCTCCAGCTCACCATCTGCTATGGACTGAGTTTTGTGTCCCCCCCGCCCCCGCAAAAAAACCTCATATGTTAAATTCCAACCCCCAATATGATGCTATTAGGAGGTAGGGACTTTGGGAGTGATTAGGTCATGGAGGTGAAGCCCTCATTAATGGGATTAGTGTCTTTATAAAAGGGACCCCAGAGAGCTCTCGCCCCTCCCAGGATGTGAGGACATGGTGAGAAGATGGCATCTATGAACAAGGAAGCAGGTCATCACTAAACACTGAATCTCCCTGAGCCTTGATCCTGGGCTTACCAGCTTCCAGAACTTTGAGAAATAAATGTCTGTTATTTATAAGCCATCCACTATACAGTATTCTGTTACAGCAGGCTGAACAGACTAAGACACCATCCAACTGAACAAGCCCCCAAGTCCTCGCCCTAGAAATGATCTGACTTGCACCCCAGGGAACTCGCTACATCCAGGCTGCTGGTTCCATCTTGGGCACGTCCACATCAGTTCTCAGAGGGCAGGAGGTTCTCATGTCCAAAAGCCAAGGGGTACCGGGTACAGACCCCCACCCAACCTCAGCTCTTCGGTTCAACAGGAACATTTCCGCTCACAAATCCAATATGTAGTTTTGTCGCAAGAGAGGTCATTCCAGGTGCCACCTTTGTTCATGCTGGCACAGTCCTCATTATGGAGGTTGTTGGGTTCCTGTGGGTCCCAAAAGCTGGATAAAGGAAAAAGTGCATACAGGGATGGATGAATAGGTGGAGCACAGGGGATTTTTCAGGGCAGTGAAACTATTATTCTATATGATACTGTGATGGTAGATACATGACATCATGCATTGGTCCAAACCCATAGAATGTACAACACAAAGAGCAAACCCTAATGTAAACTATGGACTTTAGTCCATAATAATGTATCTATATTGGTTCATCAATTGTAACAAATGCACCACACTAATGCAAGGTGTTAACAATAGAAAAAAAGTGTGAGGGAGAGAAGGAATATGGGAAATACTCCTCTGTACCTTCTTCTCAATTTTTCTGTATATCTAGAACTGCTCTAAAAAATAAAGTCCTACTCAGACATAAAAAAGAATGAAATTTTGCCATTTGCAACAACATGGATGGACTTGGAGGGTATTGTGCTGAGTGAAGTAAGTCAGACAGGAAAAGACAAATACTATATGATATCACTTATATGTGGAATCTAATAAATACAACTAACTAGTGAATACAACAACAAAGAAACAGACTCACAGATATAGAGAACCAACTAGTGGTTACAAGTGGGGAGAGGAAAGTGGGGAGGGGCAATACAGGGGTAGGAGAGAAAGATGTACAAGTTATTAGGTATAAATAAGCTACAAGGATATATTTTACAACACAGGGAATATAGCCAATATTTTATAATAACTATAAATGGAGTGTAACCTTTAAAAATTGTGAATCACTATATTATACACCTGTGACATATAATACTGTACATCAACTATGCTTCAATTAAAAATAATAATAAAAGAAAACAGAAAAAAGAATAAAGTTTATTAATCAAAAAAAAAAAAGGCTATCGGAAAAAAAAGAAAAAGAAAAGCCTTCGTGGTTCAGGGCTCTTTCTTCCATCCGAATCTTTCCTCAGCCTTTCAGAATTACCTAAAGATGCTGCCTTATCCCCTTCACCCCAGCAGCTTGTCTGTTCTAACTCAACCTCACCTCCTGTTCACCAGAAATTCTCCCAGCTCCTGAATCAGTTTCCTGCATCTGGTCAGTTTCTGCTTCCTCTTCCAAAGAACACTTCTGTTACACCAGTTCCTCCCAACCTTCTAGGTATGTAATGTCTTAGGTCATGTTCCCTTAAAGCAGAGCCAGATTCGGGTGCAGAGGATTTATTAAGAGCTGTTCTCAGGAGATAGGGAGTGAGAGAAATAGGACAGGGCAGCGGATAGAATTGAGCAAGGATGTAGGTTCAGCCTGATCTAGCCTCAGCCTGATCCCACAGGAAACTCTGAAATTTGAATAGCACCACAGAGTTACTCCAACTTGAAACAAGGGGTCCAGGCTTCTCTTAACTGGTCACTGTCTGTGGCATGACCCCAATGGGAGTGGAGTAACCTCCTAGCTGAACAGGCTTCCATTCAGCTGAAGCCAACTCTCTGGAGAAAGCATAACTGTGAACTTTTAGCAGTCACTGCCCCCTGCTGGGGGGAGCCCTCACCAGCCCCATGAAGGGATATGAGCTGAGCACCTGCAGTGCCACACCATGCCATGACATCTCAATTTGCAGAGCTCTTCCTCCTTCCAGGAATCTTTAATAAAAAATAAAATCCCCAGACAAAACACTAATATCTCTAATATAGAAAGAGCTCCTAGAAATCAGTAAGAAAAAGACCAAAACCACAATATAAAAAATACACAAAAGATATGAATAGATAATTCACAGAAAAGTTAATACATATGGCTATTAAACATATGAAAATACACCCAACCTCAGGGATAAGAGAAATGCAAATTAATGCTACACTGGGATTCCATTTTTCACCTACATATAAACCAACAAAATTCCAAAAGTTTGATGAATGTGTGGGCAAAAAAAATATAGTCAAGCTGGTGAGAGAATAAATTGGTATAACCAGTATGGGGGACAATTTATTAATATTTATTTAAAGTACAAATACATACACTCCTTGAGAAAGTAAAGCATAATGGCTAAGAGCATAGAGTTTTAAGCCAGGTTGGGTGGCACTGCCACCTGCTAGCTGTCTGACCTTGGGAAGGTTGCTTAACCTCTCTGTGCCTCATTTTCCATACCTTCAAAATAGAGATAATAATGGTATTCACCTTACAGAATTATTAAGAAGATTAAATAAATGAGCTAATATAAAGAGTGCCCAAAAAATGAGACCCTGTTCATCCTTTTGGCAAATCAAAATCTTCCTCTTCCTCTTGCCCTATAGCCATGCCTCCTTTTCCTTTTTCTCCCCCCAACCATTGGTCTGGGGACTTGATATGTTTGAGCAGTTGTGCTAAAGGTTGAGATGTTTCCATGGAGGAAAAATTAAAGTACAGGCACCAGAAGCCCTATCAGAAAAAAAAAAAAAAAAAAGCACCCTTGTTCCTCCCAGTCCAGCTCAGCCTGGAATTCTAAAGAATCTGCTGGTTTGGACTTCACAAGGACTTACAAGGAAGAGAGATCCCAAGAGCCCTGGATACTTGCCTCAAAGTGATGGGTGACCCATCCAGCCACCTCCAGTCCCCTTCACGGTTTCTGTCGTTCAGCCCCAACCAGTATACCCGAGGAGAGCCATGAGCCTTGGCCACAAAGTTCTGCAAGTACAAACTTCATTCAGCCATCAGTTCGACACACCCTCTGTTCTGTCCCACACACATTTAGGGCTTGTGAGTGCCACCCCAATACCCTTCCCAGTCCCCATGGCATGCAGAACAAGATCAACGCATTCCTCCCTCTTGAGCATGGTAATAGTCATGCCACCTTCTTGCAAAACCTATGAACCACTCTGTGCCTCAGTTTCCACCTCTGTAAAATGGGATAATAGTAGCTACCTCCTCATAGAGTTATTGAGAGGGTTGAATGAATTAGTATGCATAAAGAGCTTGAAACAGTATCTGACATGCAGTAAGTACTATGACATCTTAATATTTAACATTATATAATTTAAGGAACATTTTAATAATAATAAGTGATATCTTGATTTCCCTGGTACTTTCACCCCACCCTGCAGTCCTCCTCATCTGCATCCAGGCAGAAGAACTTGGGTGGTGGGGGAAGGAAAGGAATGGGGATTCCTGGCTTTTATATTTCCAAAGACCAAGCCTTTGGGAAAAAAGAAAGGACTTGGGCAAAAGACAAAAGATTAAAAAGAAAATGAAAATATCATGATTTAAAGCAACTCCTCTCCAGGCAAACTGATCTATGGTAAGGGAAACCAGATAAGTAGTTCCCTAGGGTGGGGGTGGCGTGAATGGAAAAGGGGCATGAAAGAACTCCCTGGGTGGTAGAAACATTGTAAATCTTGACAGTTGACAGTTACACAGGTGTATACATATGCCAAAACTCAGTGAATGTACACTTAAGATCTGTGCATTTTACTGTATGCAAATCACATCTCATTCACTCAACCTTATTCAAGACCAAGATTCCCTAAAAGGTAGAGAGGAAAGATTGCAATGTGAAGGAAATTATGGAGACGTAGACATGGTGGGTGCCAGAAAGAGGACTCTGCATTTCAGTCCCTGGTAGAGTCCGAGGTGATGGCCAAAACCTCAGATCAGTATGAAAACTCTAAAAAGTAGAGTGTACCTCGACCCTGTTGCCTGGGTAAAGCCCCAGAGAAGTATCAGGAAACCAGAAAGAGAAAAGAGCTGCTTGGCCCATCAAATTAGAATAGTGCCTAGCACATAGTAGGTGCTCAAAAAGTGTTCGTTGAATTAATAAGTTAATAAGTGACCTACACACTTTGCACAGATATCTCATTTGATCTTCACTGTGACCTACTGAAGCAAGGATTGTTAATCCCATTCTATAGATGAGAAAATTGAGGCAGAGAGAAGTTAAGTAATTTGTCCAGGATCATTCATCCAGTGGATGTCCCAGTGGATACCAGCTTGGAGTAAAGACCTTGAGGACCAGACATGTACTACCCTCTGCCTTGACCCCATATAAGCTGTTCCTACTCAGAAGAAAGATAGAAGATCTCAACTGAAAGATAAAATTTCCACCCTCCTGGTATAATGGGAGCTCAAAAGAGGCAGGAAATGAGTTATTTAAAGAAAACAAAGTTATATTTCCTATGCACCTGAGTTTAGGGAGTATGACTTATACCTCCCCATCATCTTATTACATCTAATTAAATTACATCATCTAATTTAATCTCAAAAAGAAACCCTCTGTACTACCTACTCATACAAATGATGCTATGAAACAGAAAGATTTTTTAAAAATAGAGGGAAAAAAATAGGATGGTAGGCCTAAATCTAACCAAATCAATAATTACATTAAATGTAAATGGTCTTAAAACACCAATCAAAAGCCAGAGATTGTCAGATTGAATTTAAAATATATATATAAGACCCCACTATATGCTATCTACAAGAAATCTACTTTTTTTTTTTTTTTTTTTTTGCAGTACATGGGCCTCTCACTGCTGTGGCCTCCCCCGTTGTGGAGCACAGGCTCTGGATGCGCAGGCCCAGCAGCCATGGCTCACGGGCCCAGCCGCTCCGCGGCATGTGGGATCCTCCCGGACCGGGGCACAAACCCGTGTCCCCTGCATCGGCAGGCTGACCCCCGACCACTGCACCACCAGCGAAGCCAGAAATCTACTTTTAAAATAATGACATAGACAGGTTAAAAATAAAAGGATGGGGAAAAAAACCATGCAAACACTAATCAAATAGTGCTATGAAGCTTATGGCCTAGAACATGGACTTTGAAACCAGCTTCCTGGGCTCAGGTCCTAGCTCTGATACTTACTAGTTGTAACAAGCAAGTTGCTTAAGTGAAATATGCCTCAGTTTCCTCATCTGTGAAGTACTGATATGTAATGATATGTACTGTGTACAAATGGTCTTACCACCTAGCTTTGGTAGTATTAAGTCATTAAAGTTAGTTACACATATTCCAATTCTCCTTCTACATAAACATAGATGAAACCGTCTTTCCCGGCATCTTAAAACATAGCAGTGCCCATGTGACTTTCTTTGTGAGTGCACATAGGTAGAAGTTTTAAAAGTCAGTGTATGACTTGCCTCATACACTTCCATCATTGAGCTATAGGGACTGTCTGTTACTTCAGCATAACATAACCTCTCCTGACTCACACACTAATTTACAGAGCTGTTGTTAGAATTATGTGAATGCATGTAAGATGTTTAGAATACAGCCTAGAGAATAGAAAGTGCTACCTAAGAGATAGGCCATTATATTATATCTCCCTGTTAGAGGGAAAACTGAGACTCAGAGAGGATAAGTAAACACAATCAGGATTTGAACTCAAGCAAAGCATACCCCCTTAACCTTCATATTAAAAGTTTTAGTGGGGACTTCCATGATGGCGCAGTGGTTAAGAATCCGCCTGCCAATGCAGGGAACATGGGTTAGATCCCTGGTCTGGGAAGATCCCACATGCCATGGAGCAACTAAGCCCATGCACCACAACTACTAAGCCTGCGCTCTAGAACCCATGAGCCACAACTACTGAAGCCCATGTGCCACAGATCCGCCTGCCAATGCAGGGAACATGGGTTAGATCCCTGGTCTGGGAAGATCCCACATGCCATGGAGCAACTAAGCCCATGCACCACAACTACTAAGCCTGCGCTCTAGAACCCATGAGCCACAACTACTGAAGCCCACATGCTCTAGGGTCCACGTGCCGCAACTACTGAGCCTGTGTGCTGCAACTACTGAAGCCCGCATGCCTAGAGCCCATGCTCTACAAGGGAAGCCACTGCAATGAGAAGCCTGCACACCGCAACGAAGAGTAGCCCCTGCTTGCCGCAACTACAGAAACCCCGCGCGCAGCAACGAAGATCCAACATAGCCAAAAATATTTTTTAATTAAAAATAAATTTTAAAATAAAACATATTATTAAAAAAGAAAAAGTTTTAGTGACTCAAAGCAATTCCAATTTCTCTACATCCAGGCCTGGGAAGGATATGTAAATCCTAGAATAGAGGCAGGCTGGCCCTGCTGGTTCTCAAGGGCTTGGTAGGGACAGCTCACCTGCTCAGCAAAGTTACTGATGATGACCAAGTGAGAGTAATTCTCCTGGCAGAACTTCCGGGCTTCATCCCATGACTTGGTGCTTGGAGAGAAGTAGTAACACTTACCCTGAAAAGGGAGCCAGCCCTCAGGGCAGGTGACCCTGGTACAGTCTGGGGACAGGATAGGATTCTGTCAGAGTGGCCCCAGAACCAGAGTAATGTACATGGTATGCCATGTACAGTTGTGCAGGCTATGCACTGCTCCACTCCAGGTGGGCACCACTCACATAGATTACACTGAGAATCACTCCCATGGATTTATGCAGTGTAGCATCTCTGCCATGTCCCCCATCTCAGGGAAGTTCCCCAAGTCCCACTCACCTAATAAGCCCCGAAGTTCCAGCAGGGACTGGTTCGTGTCAGCTCTTACTCGTTCAATGTCCTCCTTCAGGCCGGCTAGCCCCGCCATGCCAGTCACTGTCAGCAAGGATGGGCTGTAGGGTTAGAGACCCAAACCCCCATCTACCCACCTACCCATCACTGACTGCAGACACACCAGAGAGCAGCAAGAGCTGTGTTCCCCCACTGCACCCATGTTCTAGTGGGTGGTGGTAAAACTCAAAAACACATGCTCAGTGCCCAAGAAGAGCCCTAGTGTGGCTCCAAGGAGAGATTAATCCCTGAGGCATGGGGAAGAGTAAAGATGGTGGGCTTCTTGCAGGAGGTAGCTTTTAAAGGAAAATGGTGATTCCGTATCTCTAAGGGGATGGGGAGACTCAGTAGGCAGGAGCCACCTTGGAAGCAAAGGTCCAGAGACAAGCATGTTGGGAAAGACTGGTGCAGTAGAGGTCAAGCGGAACCTCACAGGAGCTTGAGCTCAAAGTGGGAAGAGGTCTGGTGTCTGGGTCCTTCAATGCAAAGCTAAAGGTTTTGTGTTGGACTCTGGGCAGTGAGAAGCCATTGATGGGTTTTGAGTGGAAGAGTGGCTTGGTCTGAAGTGTGGGGTGAAGGATTGTGGAATGGAGCAATTTTCAGACTTCAGGAATCATACTGAAAGCCTCTTCTGCAACTAATGTATGTGTTCCCACTACTTTCACACAAATTTGCCCTCTCCCAATACTCCCCAGGGCCATCACTAGATGGCCCTTCAGTTGGACAAGACAGAAATATTAGATAGATGGATGACAGACAGATAGATAGATAGATGATAGATAGATAGATAGATAGATAGATAGATAACATATATGTTATCCTCGACACTCTTCCCTCTCACTCACCACCATTCCCACTCACTCATCCCCAGTCTGGTCAATTTTACCTCCTAAATCTTTCCACTCCACCTACTACTCTTCATCCCCACAACCACAACCCTCATCCAAGAATCCATCATCTCTCAATTACCCAATCTCACCATTCTCCTCCCTTGTACTTATGTCGCCTCCTACCACAGGGCCTTTGCACATGCCTGAGACCCTGACCTCCTTACCAAGCTAACTCCTTCTCTTCCTTCACACAGCTATAGTACCATTTCCCTAGCAAAACTCTATATGACACTCCCAAAGACAAGGTCAAGACCCCTTGTTAGATTTTTTCATAGAATTGCCTTCCTCTTCCTTTGGACTATTCAAAACTTGGAATTTTACCCTCATTTGGATGATAATTTGGTAAATGGCTGTCTATGCTTGTACTGTCCAACAGAAACAAGATGTGAACCACATAGGTAATTTTAAATTTTCTAGTAGCCACGTGTTTTAAAAGTCAAAAGAAAGTAAAATTAATTTGAATGCCATTTTTGTTTATCTCAATATATCCAAAATATTAGCATTTCAGTGTATAATCAATATTAAAGATTATCATTATTAATATTATTGATATATTTGACATTATTTTTGTAGCAAAGCTTTGAAACATGTATCTTTTGGTTGGGTTTTTTGGTTTGTTTTGTGGTTTTGGTCTTCTGTTTTTTTGTTTTGGCCGTGCCACGTGGCTTGCAGGATCTTAGTTCCCCGAGCAGGATCAAACCTGGGCCCAAGGCAGTGAAAGCGCTGAGTCCTAACCACTGGACCTCCAGGGAATTCCCATGAAATCTGTATGTATTTTTTTTTAAGATTTTTTTCGATGTGGACCATTTTTAAAGTATTGAATTTGTTACAATATTGCTTCTGTTTTACATTTTTGTTTTTTTGGCTGCAAGGCACGTGGAATCTTCGTTCCCCGAACAGGGATGGAACCCACACGCCCTGCACTTGAAGGCAAAGTCTTAACCACTGGACTGCCAGGGAAGTCCCCCGTATGTATTTTAGGCTTACAGTATATCTCAATCCAAAATGACCTCATTTCAAGTGCTCAACAACCACAGTGACTCATGGTTGCCATATTGGACAGTGGAGGTCTAGACACACACACACACACACACACACACACACACACACACACTCCACAGGGACAGGGACTATGTCTGATGTGTTCACCATCCTACCCACCCATCCCCCACCCTGTTACCTAGCACAGTGCCTAGCAAAGATGGCATTGGGGTTCGTCATGAAGCTGGATTTGAGGATCATGTTCGTGCTCAATACGCATGGTTTGAAGGGATGATTGAAAGCACTCACCATTTGCTCGCCATGCCATCTGCTGAAAGGTTAACATCCTCAGCTCTTCCACCACCTCCTGGTCTATGAGAAGGAGTCCAGCTTGAGCCCAAGTCCTCCCATATCCCTTCCCCAATTTCTCTGCATGCCCCATCCTCACCTTACTCACATTTAATCAGGGTAACAGCCAGACCAGTGCAGCCCATGAGCAGTGACACCACCACCAGCAGACACATGTACACCATCAGTCTCTCCTCCTGGTAACACCTAGGACCTCCGGACTTCTGACTGATCCAGGGCACTGGAGTTGCTGGGGGGAAGAGATGGGGACAGAGAGACTGATGCTGGTGTTTCAGATAGTGAGGAAGGGACCCCCGAGCTTTCCTCCAAGAGAAGTGGGGCAAATGACTATGGTCATGACTATATCACCAGGTGGGGTCAGCAAGAGAATATCAGGGAGAGCAAACCCTAAAGAAGCCCAGAGAATTTGTGGAATACATACAATATGCCACACATTCTGTCACACCCTTATTATTTTACTGGCTCCTCACCCTTATGATGTAGATTTAAACAGTATTCCCATTTTGCAAATAAGTGAACTGAGGGCTTGGAGAGGTCATGCATAACTTGGACCCAGCTCTTCTCTTAACATTTAGGATGCATTATATTCTACACTCCAGCAGCCCCTGCCCAAGCTGCTCCCCGGTGGCCCAAGCTGTGGACCCTTGCATCTGGGGCAGAGAGTATTTCCCATAACTTATAGACAAGCAGGAGGTAGGGCTTGAAGAGTACCTGGTAGATATCCTGGGTCCCTGGGGGTCTGGTTTAGACTCAGAAAGGAGGAGCTTCTGAAAGGAAATGTTTCTCTACCAGGGTCTCACTCCAGAGCTCTAGGTCTCAAATACACTGGCCACCATGAGAGGGGAGATAGAGGTAAACCTAAAGGACTTACTGGCTATAGGCAGCTGGGATGGAGGATGTACAAGATCAGTGCCTGGGAGAAAGGCAAGAGAGGTTTATTCAGAAGTCACTGAAAGACTTCGTCTTCCAAGATCAACCGCCTCCCCCCAAGCCCTCTGATTTGGTCAGAATTGGGGGACTGGAGGGAGGACTTCCAAGTGTCCGCTCTCAGGCTTCGTAATGGGTATTCCCACTGCTCACCCAGTTGAGGAGTTGTGCAGGTGACAGGGGTGAGGTTCAGGCCTGGAAGGGGTCAGAAAGACAACAGTCATGTAGAGCAGGGCTTCAGCCAAGTGAACAGGAAGGTCCCAGCCCTAGATGCTCACCTGTGTTCTTCAGGAGCTTGCAGGGAAGTGGGGGGTTCTCTGTTTTCTTTCCTGAGGAGGAAGGATGGTTGCTCAGGCCCAGATCAGGACAAAGCCAGCACTGGGTCTCCTGTAACCCCAGCCCCAGCTCACCTGCCCTTGGAGGTCTTGGTGGAGCCATCCAACCTGGCGAAGAGAAGCTCAGCATTAGAGCTGGTCCAAGGATGGGAATGAGGTGGAAAGGCAGTGATGGAAACAGGATCGACATGTACGCACTGTTATATTTCAAATAGATGACTGGGACTTCCCTGGCGGTGCAGTGGTTAAGAATCCACCTTCCAATGCAGGGGGCGCTGGTTCGATCCTCGGTCTGGGAACTAAGATCCCACATGCCGTGGGGCAACTAAGCCTGTGCACTGCAACTACTGAACCCACACCCTCTGGAGCCCATGCGCCACAAATAGAGAGGCCACGCACTGCAACTACTGAGCCCACGTGCTCTGGAGCATGCATGCCACAACTAGAGAGAAGCCTGTACGCCGCAATGAAGAGCCCGCACACCACAAGGAAGATCCCGCATGCTGCAACTAAGACCCAATGCAGTCAAATAAATAAATAAATATTTTAAATAAATAAATAAAAATAAAATAGATGACTGACAAGGACCTATTGTAAAATTAATTAATTTATTTTTATTTATTTTTTTTTTAAAGAGGGACTTCCCTAGCGGTCCAGTGGTTAGGACTCCGCACTTCCACTACTAGGGGCACAGGTTCAATCCCTGGTCAGGGAGCTAAGATCCCGCATGCCTCATAGTGTGGCCAAAACAAGAAAAAAGAAACAGGATCGAGATTGCCATGGAGGGTTAGGGATGGGGTTGTGCTTGAGAATGGAATTGGGCTTAGGGATAGGGACAGGATTAAGATACAGTGACCAACCACCCTGAATGACCCAGGACTTTCCTAATATTAAAACGGGAGGTCCCACATTCCAAGAAATCTTTCATCTCTGCACAAACTGGGACAGCTGATCCCCCTAAGTTAAAGACACAAGTGAATTTGGGTATAGGAACAGAGTCAAGGCTAAGGTTGGGATGAGGGTTTGGATTGAGATGATGGGGTTGAAGAGGGTCAGGGATAGTGATGGACATGGGTGTAGGTTTGTGATTCAGGGTGTAGTTGGGATGAAGAATGGGTCTGTAGCTGCATTGGGGAATGGGGGAGAAGTTGAGGTTGGGTTGTAGTTGTGTTGGGGCTTGGTGATAGTTTTGATTTGGACATGGAGATGGGTTGGAGATGGGGCTGCATTTGGAGATGGGGATGGGACCTAAATTTGGGGAAGGGGTGGCCTCGAAGACAGCGATGGAGTGGGCCTTCGGGTTGGGCTTGGGGACCACGCTGGGACCAAGTTGGATTTGGAGATGGACAGTCAAAAAGCAGAGCCCAGGGGCTTCCCTGGTGGCGCAGTGGTTGAGAGTCCGCCTGCCGATGCAGGGGACACGGGTTCGAGCCCCGGTCTGGGAAGATCCCACACGTCGCGTAGCGGCGGGGCCCGTGAGCCATGGCCGCTGAGCCTGCTCATCGGAGCCTGTGCTCCACAACGGGAGAGGCCACAAGAGTGAGGGGCCCGCGGACCGCAAAAAAAAAAAAAAAAAAGCAGAGCCCAGTGCACCTCCTTAACTCATACTGAGACCCATGGTGCCCTGGGACCTCCTAGATTGACTCCACTCTGGACTCAGAAGTGGGGGGCGTGGATCCACGTGGAATGGCCCCTGTCCAAGGACATGCAGGGGACCTGGTGGGAGTTTACTCAGGGAAACCTCAAAGCCTCCACTTTTTTTTTTCTTTTGGCCCTGCCACGCAGCTTGCGAGATCTCAGTTCCCCAACCAGGGGTGAAACCCAAGCCATGGCAGTAAATGCACCCAGTCCCAACCACTGGACCCAACGGCTCCACTTTTATATACACTTATTGGACTCTTGTTGAGTCCCTGGCCAGTCCACTCACAGCTTCTGAAATACTGGCTTTCATGTCTCGGGGCCTTTGCATCCACCAGTTCTTTTCTGGGCTTCTCTTCTTAACAAACTCCTGTTCATCCCTCAAGTCTCACTCCGATGTCCCCTCATCTGACCCCGAATCCTCCCACTAGTGCAGGCAGACCCCTCAATTACCCTCAGGATTTCCCCAATTTCATAGTCCCTCCCCTCTTAGACCTGCTCACCCAGGACTATGCCCAAAACTGCCTCCCCCATCAGACTGAGAGACCCTCAGGGTGGACGCATGGATACTCCCACCATCATGGTGCCCAGTACGGGCAGGCTGACCATGTATGTCTGCCGTGCCCAGCTAGTTCCCCCTGGGGAGTCTGTTCCCCAACCTCATCCCTCAAATCACACATCTCTTCACCTGGCCTCTGAGAGGTCCTCTTACCTGGCTTGGGAGGAAGGTCCTTGTATGGTGGTGTCGTGTTCTCATAATCATCATCATCCTCCTCTTCTCTGGGTCCTTCCAGAGGAAAGGCAAGTGAGAGCCCAGCCCATTCCCTCCTCTGTCCCTCACACCCTGGTCTCTGGCCCCAAGGTGGGAATACTGTAACCTGGGTCCTGACCACCCCTGGTCCCCAGCCCATGCCTGGCCAGGGCCATACCTGGCAGGTCCATGCACCCAGAGTTGGTATACAGGGTGCACATGACTGCAGCTAACACAGGAGCCTGAGCAGAAGCAGGCAGAGCTCGACAGCTTCTCCTGTGTCCTCAACTCAAGTGACTAGGGTTTTTCTCAGTTCCTCTTTTCTTTAAAAGTCAAGAACATGCAAATCTATCTTGAGGGGCCACACACACACACACACACACACACACACACACACACACACACACACATTTATTCTTCTTCCCAGTTTGGATTCATGCATAGAAATAACAACGACAACAGCCCCTGCATTTGAGTTCCTACACAGCACCAAGCCCTGGGTGAAAAATAGATAAGTTCCTTCCTTCATGAAACTTCAGTCGAGACAGGAGAGACAATAAACCTATAAAGAAATATAGAAATAAGCAATATGGTTTGGTTTTTTATTTTATTTCCAATAGTAACTAAGTATTATCTTAAAATAAAATAAAACAGGGTAAAGGGATAGGATGGGGGCTAATATAGAGAAGTGGTCAGGAGAGGCCTCCCGGAGGGGTTGACATTTACAACAAGACGTTAAAGTAATCGGTGCTAAGTACTCCCACATTCCCACAGTGAAGTTTTAGGCTCACTGTGGCTACATAACAAATTACCCCCAAACTTCATGACTTAAAAAAACAGTAGGGGGGCTTCCCTGGTGGCGCAGTGGTTGGGAGTCCGCCTGCCAATGCAGGGGACAGGGGTTCGAGCCCTGGTCTGGGAAGATCCCACATGCCGCGGAGCAACTAGGCCCGTGAGCCACAACTACTGAGCCGGCGCGTCTGGAGCCTGTGCTCCGCAACAAGAGAGGCCGCGATAGTGAGAGGCCCGCGCACCGCGATGAAGAGTGGCCCCCACTTGCCACAACTAGAGAAAGCCCTCGCACAGAAATGAAGACCCAACACAGCAAAAATAAAT